CATAACTAAAATAAGTTAATTTTAAAAATAAATATTTTTAAAGCAAACTTTCTAAATACGAACGAAATCGGACCATAAATACCAGTTTACCAAATATATCGACCTGTGCGCCACCTATAGGAAACATTTTTAGTGGTGTTCTTCCTTTTAATATACGTTTTAAATATGAACTCATTCATACCTTTCATTATTTTTAATACACACACATGTACGTATATGAATGTTATGAAGCTGTAAATCTCTCGCGAGTGATTTGTGTTTTGATTTTTTTTTATTTACTTCGAAGAATTATTGATAACGTCATTTTTGAAATGAGCTTCAACACCGGTCTTGTCGTGTACAAATACATATGTACATACATACTTACATATCAAACGATTTTGTTTACACATTTAGCCTTTGTGCGAACCTCGTGTTGTTGTGTTGTTTTTTTTTTAATTGTTGCCAGATTAATCATGCCAACAACAATAAGCTGCTGTACAGAGTTTATGTGCTCTTTGTTTTTTTTTTGTAGCTCAGATTTTTGTTAATAATGTTTATAAATTCTTATCTCATTAAGACGAAGGCGCACATATGATTTTAAAGCGCCTACATACTTGTGGGTACATATATACATCTGTAGCTAATAGATACAGTGTACATAACTTACAGTTCATGTCAGTTTGTTGGCTGTTTGAGATTTATTTTCATGAGATCAGTGTAGGCAAACATAAGCGATTTTAATTTGTTTGATTTTGTCGCCAATAATTTGCAAGCTATGTACATACTGACTTCAACCAGCTTTTAAAAGACATGTGTAGCTTGCTCTATGGCCAGCTTTCTTGATTTTGATAACGCCATAGGCACAATGCACCCTGGGTAATTTGATCAGTTTATGTGGCCAAAAGTCGCTTTTCGTATTTACAAAAAAAAAAGAAAAACTATTGATAAAGAAGACTTTAAACCTAATAATGGTATCTTTTTTTGTCTGTGAGTGAAATATTAGAATCGATTTTGTGTTCTCTTTGTTTAGCTATTTTCGAACATCCATATTTAATAATTGTATAAAAAATTTACAAAAATTTAGCGACTAAAGAGAAAAGTAACTACTTTTAAGATCTATAACTGTTTTTGTTTGTAGATTTTTTTTTTGAGAGAAAAATACATACCTCTTAAATAACATTAAATTATTATTTTTTTCCTTAAAAGTGATTTCTGAATACGATTTTGAAATGTTGGCCGTAGTTGGCCGTGTTTATACTATCAAAAACATGTAAAATGAAGAGCGCTGGGTTTCATCTGTAAATTTCGTGTTGCGATTTTTTGCATTTTATGAGAAATAGTGGTTTTTGTAGGTATTTTTATACTGTCAATAGTGAATTTGCAAGGCAAGAGAGGAAAGAGAAGACTGTTGAATATAAAAAATTTTCCTCTAAATTACAAGGTTCATAGAGCCTCATAATGCATAAAAAAATTTTAAATTTTCTGAAACATTTCAGATACAATTACAATATAAAATACGAATGATCCGTTTTAGTAAACCTTACCGGTTTTTCTGCTTTCAGTAGATCAAGAAATCAAAAACCTACCCTTTACTGCAACAACAGCACACAAGCTTTTCAAAAACCACGGCAAAAACCACCCTAATTGCCTGTTCAACTGCACCTTTGCGGACATTTGTATGAAATATTGTACAAGATACTTACAACCTTTCAGTGTAAATGTACAATATATTGTACATTTTTTTTGGCCACTCGGAAAAAATATTTTAAATCATGATAGTTTAATTTTTATATGATGCTTTTTATATTTCCATACTATGTGCTTTTATTAGCGATTTTACTTGACTTTCACGTATTTTTTGTACAGTAAATTACCACAACTTGTGTGTTCACGGAATTTTATAAAATGGTCTATTTTTAAATTAAATTCTAAAGATATTTTTGAAACGTTTTCGATTTTGAAATTTACGTAAACTATTCGGGACATTCCAAAACTTCATAAATGTTACAAAAAATTAAAAGTACAATATATTGTACAAAAGCAGGGAAAGGGTTAATATAATTTGGCAATACTTTTTAAAAGTATGTACGGCATTTTTTCCTAAATATAAATATTTAGAAAAAAAACTGCATTCAAATTTTTGCAATAAAACCGCAAATTAAAAAGTGGCCGCTTTTAACCCATCGGTCGTCAAGGGTTAATAAGGTTCTTTCTTTTTTGTGAAAAAGTGTGGCAAATCAGGATGCCACTAAATACAAAAATTATGTTGTTTCAAATAATCAACTTGTTTGGTCATAATTAATTTTGGCCACAAAAATGTGTCAAATTGCCCACAGTGCAATTCTATACCAGAACGCAGTCTCTTAAAAAAAAATCTATAAAATATTAATTTCAATGATTTTTGCTGTAGTATCTGAATCCTTAACTGCCGTTTTCACCTTGAATTCAAGTGAAAAATGTCTTGTTCTCTTCTGCCAGTTTTGATATTAAATTATAATACAAAAATAATTTTGGACTTACGCAAATAAAAACAAGCCAGACAGCCACATGCGCCCGGGAAATTCAAAGAAGTTTATACGGGTCTATGCACTGATACTTGGAGGTGGCTATCTCCACGGTAACCCAGCTGGTGCCCTGAGAGGCTTAGTCGTCGTCCATATCTAACATGCCGCAAGCCTTGGGCTCCAGCTGAGCCGTCAAAGCCGGTGGAGATTCTCGTTCACATCTTGACTTGAAATTAGGTAATTGAAAGTATATCACAATGTCAGAAGAAATATGTAGGTTTAAGAAGGTTGTAGTTTGGAAATATTTTGAAAAGGGTTCCCACCTGTCCAATTTAATTAAATTAAACAAAAATATGCATAATATATATATAATATTGAATATTTGAATTATTTTCTAATTATAATTATTTAATAAATAATAAATATGGGTATCTGCAAAAATTAGTTTCAAAAGGCCTCATTTCTAAATTACAAGTATGAGGGTTGCCACTCAAAATAACCCAATTTAAAGTTAAATTATGGGAATAAGATAACATGCTTCACAATAAAAAAATAAAAATGTCTGCTATGATTTTGGCTAAATTTAAGTATGTAGAACTTTGATGAAATAAATTACGCATAACGTTACACGCAGGAATTTCACGCACTCTGCGAAGCAGACATTTTGTTTGCGACAATTTTGTTTAACAATTTCTACATTTTAGCTAAACTTTCCATGAAAATTCTACACTACCTCAACTTAAAAGTTTAGTGTTCCGGAACTTTTTTGTTGGAAATAAATGTAAATTCAATTCTGAAGAAACCCCATCATTGACCATGATTATACCATAAACTGCCTTTGAGCTATAGAATTTTGATTAAAAAAGTCAAAGTTTACGTGTATTTTAAACGGGAAATCTTTGCACGCCTTGACCGGGCACTTAATCTTAATATTAAGGGCTCAAATTTTCAGGGAATTTTTGTTTAGGTATTTCCCACAAAATTTCGTGATGGGAGTAAAAAAGAATAGTCGCCAAAAAAGCACCCTAATATACATATGTATGTACATATACACTAGGGTGGGTCATTTTTTTCACTATGGGCGTATAGAATAGGCGGATTCTACATGTAATTCTATGCAAGTTTGTCGAAGAAAATTTGGGTCTAAAATCAATTTGGAGTTTGCAAATTGTGAAAAAAGGACTTCAAAGAATATGTGAAAATTTTCACTGTAGAGCCCTTCTGGTTGAACTTTTAAGAAAAAGATTATTGCAGAAATAAATTCCGCATACCAGAAGACCCTTATAGCATGTTTTTATAAACAATTTAAGCACATTTTTACGACACTACACCTAAATGCTAAGAAACTTATTTTAGCAATTTGGAAAACTCCACATTGATTTTAAACACATGGTTTCTTCGACAAATTTGTTTAGAATTACGCGCAGAATCATTAGTTGCGATCTCGTACGAGTCCGGACTAGTCAGAAATAGTCAGAATCAGTTAGATTTTACTGGAAATCGATCCCGTACTCGGTTCTCTGACTATTGAGAGGACAAAAAGGAGAGTAAATACGGTTCTCTCTCTGTCAGAAGTTACCAGTTTTAGTCCGAGAATTTTTTGCTGGTAAATGTGTCAAACGATCAGCTGTAGTGTGTTTGGCAACCAAATTGTAAACAAAAGAAAAGTGCACTCTGCTAATTCATGTTGAAAAGTATTTAATTACTTGTTTAAGTGGATTCTAATGAATTTGAAGGTATTTTTGGTTATTTACATGTGTGAGCTGAGTGTGTTTACATACAAAATAAGCCAAAAATTTACAACCAAAATTTGGAGGTTATGCTGCAGTTGATAGAAGTTACCATTTTTTACTAGAAAGCGATCCCGTTCTTTTCAATGTTACTCTCTCGCTCTGAGCGAATTTTTATTTTTTGACAGTTTTACTAGTCCGAGTCCGAGGAATACGGGATTGCAGTTATGTGCTATACGCGCGTAATCGAAAAAATGTCCCATACAAATTGACCCGCCCTAATATATGTACTGTAAGTTTATCAATACAGCTATAATTTATTAGCATTAATGCATTTAGATCCCTAGTTTCAGTAAAAATATTGATAGATAATGCTTTCGGTAATTGTATCGATATACATACATACACATCAGTACATTTTGCCTTATTTGATTTTCAAATAAATGCAACTTCTCTTTGAAAGAAGATTTTAAAGACTTTAAACGTAGTACAATGAAAGCTGAAGGCCTCATCTGTGATAGAAAGACCATGCGGAGAAGGACCTGGTATTCCCAATTGGCGTCAGTTGGTGTAGAAGAGAAACGACTAACGTGCTTTTTTGGGCTCGGCCAGAATCGCTTAAAGAAGAAGGAACGTGGATCAACCCCAAAGTGATTCTAGTTAAAAGTAAAGTCTTTCTTTTTTTTCTTTTCTTATAAATTAAAAGTCTTTTTCTCTGTCCCGAGCCCGATAGGACTAATTTAATAATAGCATCCACTGCTCACTTGAAACGAAAAAAGTTCAGTGTTGATTTCATATGTTCAGTATCTCAACATCATTTCAAACTTGTATTTCATTTTTGTTTCATTTAATTTTATTAATTTAATACATGAGTATATACTAAACAAAATTTAAGAGTTCATAGTGTACTATAACTCCTCACATCTTCCACCGGCGCGCATATAGCCTGGATAACATTCACAAACATCCGGCGCTGTACAAATGCCATTAGAACAATCTTCCGTGCAGATGGGTTCACAGCGCATTGCCGTCGAGCGAGTAATGCGCAAATAACCAGGACAACAATACGAGATTGTTTGCATTTTCAATGTAGGTTCATTAGCTTCACCGCTAAAAAGTGAAAAGTAAATGTAAATAAATATTTTTGCTAAACTTTTGGCAGATCAAAAATGAAAAAAGTACGATTTTTTATTTTTTTTTTTTGTGTATTACATAAAAACAGGGACCGAACATAGCAGTTATTGATGAAAACTGTCAACAAAGTTATGCATACCAATTGATTTCTTTTTCATCGAAACACAAATTTGAAAATACATTTTTATTTGCAATTTTTATGCAAAATTAAAAAAAATAACAATTATTTTTGAATTTCATATTATTAAACAAAATAAAAATTATTTTTAACTTTTATATTATATGTCTTAGATAACAGTTATTGAAGACTTTCATTTGTAAAAGTCATCACTATAAATAAGTCACTGACTTGTATTTTTTATTCGTTCATATAAACGTCATTAACATTTTTCCCAGTTGAGAAGGTGTTGGGAAATAAAAATTTACTACGACTTAAAAAAATGATTTTTATAAGTATGATTAAAAAAATAAAGGTCAGTGACTAATTTATATTTATTACCTTTATAAATAAAAGTCTTCGATAACTGTTATCTAAGACATATAATTTAAAAAATCAAAAATAACTGTTATTTGCAGATAATTTAGATAAAAATCAAAAATAATTGTTATTTTGGATTTGTAAAATAAAATTCAGAAATAACGGTTATTTAAGGGGTAATTAAATAAAAGCCAAAAAATAATTGTTATAGAGCGATTTTTTTAATTAAATTTGTAACTGTTACGGTCGCTGCATAAAACTAACGAGCCCTAACCGCCAAAATAACGTAAGCGATATTTTTTTCAAAATTTTTCTAGATGCATTTCTGCATCGCTTACGTTATTTTCGCGGTTAGGGCTCGATATTACGTATAAACTATGCATATATTTTTTAAAAAAGCCAAACAAACTTTCACTCACAGCACTTCCTTATAGCAAATACCGGATGCCATTAACGATTTCGTTTCCAATATAAAAAGGTCTCTATCAGTTGGACTATTGAGTTTCCAAAATTGCGCATTCGCCACGTTTAGATTTAAAATAATGCACAATGCAAGAAGCAGCGCGCTGAAGTGTTTGAAATTTCGCATTTTTAAGTTATGTAGCTTTGGACCAAAATACATATTTTCGTCAATATATTTTTAATATTTTTTTATTTTTTTTTTGATATTAATACAATTAATATTCTTAATAATTCGCCATGCGTGTCTCACTTTCTTCACCTAAAGCGCCACGCTGATTATGTCTTTAGTCTAGCATGCTCTTCCGCCATCACATCACTGACTACAATTTTCCTCTTTTCTTTTTAAAACATTTCTTAATATGTCGTCTCTTGCGCTTTATATACATTTTTCTCCTTTTTCCTTATCAAAGATTCTATGGTTTGCGCAAAGAAAGTCAATACACTATTGCTCGTTTCGTTCCAATGCCTGACTGATAAGACAAACAGCTGATACAAATTTCTCTAGTCGATTTTACTCAATAAAGTGCATACGTATACATACACACATACATATAGCTCAGTAAAGGAGAGCACAAGCTGTAACGTTGAAATTCTGAGCGCAATTAAAATTTTACAAAGTTGAAAGCATATAAAAAATTGGATCTACATAAGTATAAGATTACTAAGCAGTCAAGTAACCTACATTTAATTGGATGCGCAGTGGCATCAAAGTTCACGGGCCATGGTTGATTATTTTAAATAGATGCTATTTTGAGTATTTTATGCTCTTTTCGTTTATTATCATATATTATATGTAGCAAAGATTCAAGGCTTCTAGATTTCTTATTGTATTTTTGCATTTTTTTTTCAGTAAATATTCGCCTTTTTAAAGGCAACAAACTCAGTCCGCTTATTAGCTTTAAATTTCATTCACCACAAATACTGCTGATTACTTTAAAGCTTTGTGCCTAAAAGTAGATTATAATTGCTGCAGCAAAAGCTTTATTGGTGATCTCTGTATGGCGATAAATCGAGCGAGTTCAAGACTAACCCAGAAATGGCTCTTTTAGGGCCAATGGCGGCAGTACTTTTATATAACGTCCCAATAAACATTTCTGAAAAAAAATCTCAATTTGAGATGCATTTGAGGATCAGTCCTTTTCTCAAACTTCAAAACGTAAGTCCTCAAATGCATCTCCAATCACCTTTGACGGCTATCCCAAACTAACAGGTACTTTCTAATATGGAATTTTCCCTTATTTTCAAATTGAGAAATATTGAATTCTCTACTTTTTCTTAAACGTGAGTGAAGCGGAACGAAATGGAATTCACTTAGTCTCATTGAAATTATTTAGAGTGCTGCCAAAAAGAGGTATGTAAAAGAAACACACAGTTTTTATAGGAAAGTTTAACAGTTTATTTCAGAGCTTATTTATTCAATTTGTTTAACAAAAAAATAAAAAAATACGGTTGATGTAAAAAATTAGTTGCATACAGTTTGCTTTTAACATTCTATCCTATAGGTAGGAAAAGTGTTTCAAGTATAATTAATGTGTTTATGCTCTATTGAAATTATACAAATTCTTAAAAAAATGCATTTAGTGGAAACAAATTTCATGGTTTTCACCGATTTTGGGATTTACTGCGATTTTTTCTCCACAAAAATATTAAAAAATTTGTTTTATTAGGATTTATTGCATTTTTAACATAAAATAATTATTTCACTTTAAGTAGGCAAACTATCGGTCACTTTCGATGCAGCAGGCTATTTCTTTCTTTCGTTTTTAAATTTTAATGGCCGGTCGGTAGACCATATCGGCAAATCAGCTTAAAAAAGGTCAATCACAAAATAACTTTATAAAAAATGTTCATTCGTATTAGTAAATTAAATGCATTTCAATTCATTCGCACTAGGAGCCACTTTGCGACAGAAAAATTGCGAATAATGCTTGAGAAAATGTTTAGTTTATAGACAAACACTGCAAAAATCAGATTGAGAAGTGAGATTTTCTGAAACGTTTGAGAAGTTTTTTTTTTGTGTAAATTTCTTCTATTCACAGGCGATAAAAAAAAATTAATTTTGTATATGAATATTTTGAATGAGGGCTTTCCCTTATTCACTGTAACTATCAATATCGATATATATATCGAAATTTTCATTGATATCGATATACTTATCGAAATTTTTATAGATGTCGATACATTTGTCGCATTTTTTCGGATATCGATATATTTTTTGAAAATTTTGCTGGTATAGGATCGTTTTTCTGATCTGTTTATCGATATTCTTATTCTTGTATTTATTGCTGTAATTGCGGTAATATAAACATTAATTCTTATAGATATCGATATCATGAAATGCCTCTAAGTATATCAGTATTCCCATTTTTGTATTTATCGATATATTATACTTATCGATATTTTTATAGATATATCGATACTATTAAATGCTTATTAGTTTATCGATAGTTTTAGTTTTTTGTAGTTATTAGTTTTTGTATCATTTTGTTTTTATTATTATAGCTATCGGTTTAAGTATACACTTAATTGGTTTTTATCGATATAGTTTTCGTTATCAACGTAATTCATTATGAATATTTGCTTCGTTTTCGATCATATTCTTATCATCATTTTTATCGATACCACCACGATATTTGCTAAGAGGTCGTACCCACGAGATGGCCAGAGCAAACTCAGGGAGCTTATGTCGAGATTCCTGACGTTCTAGTACCTCTGACATTCACAGACATCTTCAAAGTCCACGCCACACTCAGAGTCGTAAAGATGCCAACATGCATTAAGAGGATTGTGCCCCGTTTGGAGAAAACCCAAACTCAGAAAGTGCCCGAAGTCTGGATTCCCTGCTACAAACTCTATACGGGGAATTAACCGCTATGGAAGGTTGCCCCAACGGTCCTGCCACATACCTAGGAGTAACTCCTCCGGCAACCGGTGGATCCCTCCTGTCAAGGATGGAATGCCCATAATCCTTCTTAACCTAAAATAAGGGCGCCTCCATCAGTACCTGCAGTGCGTCCACCAAAACAGTGCGATACACAGGAATACAAACCAGCAACAACGTCCTTCGGCAGGACAGTACTTTCTGGCGTCCCCAACCGACAAACATAGCTGTCTGGTATCAAATAGTGGATCCGAAAGCACCACAAGCCACCAACAGGCGCCGATAAATGATACACCGGCCGAGGCCCAGTCGCATCTCAAGATTCGTCGTACCTGTCCTACAACACCAACCAAGCGCTCTTTTAGGCGCACCTGCTTCAAGTTCAAGGAATTTCAGTAGTTTTCTGTGTCCGTCAGCGTTGACTGCCATCTGTTCTGTTAATCGCAAAGTATTCATCTGCGCCACTATTTCTGCGATACTAAGCTTCATTTAGAAAGCCAAAGTATGAAATCTATGCTAATTTTTTCGAAGTTCTCTTAGCACTTCTTTTATTCAGTTATGTTTTCAGTTGTACTAAAATTGGCGCTGAATTACGCTCCAGAATTTAGTATGTAAAAGAAGTTCAGAAACTGAGGACGTCCGATTGAAAACATCGGCAGTTCTTTTTATAAATTTTTTATTTTATTATTGCTTTTATTGCAACATATTTGTTATTGTAAATTTTTCATCGCTTCGCTTTTGTCGAAACTATGTCACTTCTACGCACTCTAGCTGTCAATTCGCTCTTATCATTCGCCTTTCTGTTTTGCTTTGTCTATGGTGCGCTGTTTGAAAAGTATTGGAGCACCACAACAACCAGCACAACAACCACCGTCAAGCCATGGCACGTACGTCAGCCAGGCCTATCGTTGCCATTGCCCAACAGCCATCCGTCTAAGTGTTGGCGCGAAGTGCCGTGAGTATGTGGAATATATGTACCTACCAAAATATGGCTTTAAATGTATACAAATTATCGGTGTTTTCTTCACTTTGACAGCGCTGTGTTCTTCCAATTCGAGAAGGATGTGCAAGTTGTGGGCAATAGTACACTTAGTCCCTACTTCAATCTCGTAGAAGTCTGCTGTAAGGGTTACAAGCGCTATGACTTCGATTGGAATCGTTGTGTGCCGGATTGTGGCAACAAATGTCAAGCCAATGGCTTCTGCTTGGATGGCGGCATCTGCCGTTGCTTTGACGAATTTGTGCTCAATCATCGCAATGTCTGCATACCGATTTGTCCGTTGGGATGCCCGAATGGTCAGTGCTACTTGAATGGCACTTGCATTTGCCAAGAGGGCTATGAATTGAATCCGACACGCAAATTCTGTATGCCACGTTGTGAGTTCAGTTGTGCGCACAATGAGATTTGTGTCGAGCCGAATAAGTGCGAGTGCGCTGAGGGCTATACGCGTGCACTGCCACCCAGCACCATGGGTTGCCAGCCGATTTGCATACCGGACTGCGGGTTCGGACACTGCGTGGCGCCAAATCACTGCGAGTGCTTCCATGGCTATTTGAAACGTTTGAATGGTAGCACGTGCGAGAGTAATTGTTATATGTAAGTGAACTCGGAAGCTTTGTTTGTCCTTAAGTCATTTGCTCTTCTCATCCTTTCTGAAACTTGCAGGCGCTGCGAGAATGGTTTTTGCGCAAATCGCACCACCTGCGTCTGTCAGAATGGCTACCGTTTCGATCAGAATACCACCTCTTGTCTGCCAGTGTGTGATGAGGACTGCGAAAATGGCATTTGCCTATCACCAGGCGTCTGTCGTTGCTTCAATGGTTATGTACGTCGTGGTCCTAAGTGCGAGGGCATATGCGTGAAGTAAGTTTCAACTATTCAGTACAATTTTAAGATTTTCATATTTTAGCTAAGATACATTGCTGTTCGTTTTCTCTAGCGGTTGCGGCTTCTATGGTAAATGCATTGCTCCCAACGTTTGCGGCTGTTCCATTGTTGAGGGTCCGATGCGCAACTATCAACGCTGTGCGAATGGAAATTGCAATTCAAAGGGTCGTTGTCGCTGCAAAGAAGGCTACGTACGTTTCATTGATCAATGCATGGAACCGGATAAGGTGACCACATATGCCTCTATGAGGCCCAGTCGCTTAAATGAGACTCTGCTGCAGGAATTCAATATGCTGATTGGTAGACATTTTATGTTTCAATACAAAATTTTTCCTTACTATTGAATTGTGTAGTTTTTATAGAATATTTGCACGATTATTTACTTAAAATGATCATTAATACTACATTAATATATTTGGTATGTTTCTTTTATTAAGAGTAATTTTTTTCTATAAATTATTGGTTAATTTAAGATACATACATGGCGTATGAGTAATCTTTAAACTACATAAATACATACGTACATGTGCAGTGTGATATTGGAAATTATATATGGATGTATATCGATATCAATTAGTGCCTACGATATTGATAACCATAGGTATAGAATAATTCTTTATCGCAAAAAGCATATTGCCAGAAATGTAAATAATTTTATCGTTAGATATATCGGTGAAAACATTCCTTAATATATCGATACATATCGAAAAATATCATGAATGTGACGGAAAATCTTAATGCTAAACATTTTAAAATAATTAAATGAGCTATACTTTGGGAATAATTACATAAATATACATACATATCGTTGAGGCTGTTGCAAAACCGCCTAAATCGCCTTTGTGGCAAAAATGAGATTTGGTAATCCTAAACTCCAGGCATCGAGATTTATGCATCAAATACGCAAGATCGTTATTAAAACAACAGATTTGCCAAATAATAGCAAGAGAAAATACCGCCTATCTTTTTTCGCTGTCCTGTAAAATTTGAGTGCCGCAAGAGAGGCGATTTTCCAATCGATCGATGGGCGGTTTTGCAAACGTGACAGTTTGTCGATGAATTTCGATAATTTGATACATATCGATAGTTCGGCGAATTTAGAAATCTCTAAAATCAGATAAATCCAGAAAATTCGATAACTCGACTAATTTCGATAATTGTCAATAAATTTCGATAACCAGATAAATTTTCATAACTAAGATATGAATATATCTCGATATAAATCGACAGCTCGATAAACTTGGAATACCTCAATAAATTTCTATAATTCGATAATTTCGATAATTTATTACGCACTGATAAAACGATAAAATTCGATAAGTGATAACTTGCTAAACTTACATAACCTTGGAATTTCAATAACTCGATATATGTAGTTTTAAAATTCTAAAAACTTCGATTCGACCAATTTCAGTAAATCAATAGATATAGAGAAGTTCAAATAACTCAATACATTACGATTACTCGTTAAATTTCGATAACTCTATAAATAACGACAGTTCAATAAATATAGGTAAGTTGATAAATTCCACTAACTTAACGCAACGCAATAAACATTGATAATTCGATACGTTTAATTAATTTTTTATTTATTAATAAAGGTGGATAACTCGTTAAATTTCCATAACATTTATTGATTCGATAAATTTTATTCCTTCGGAAAAAAATATTTTTGGTAATAAGATTAAAAAACAAAAAATAATATTAAGGGCAAAACTTTTAGCGCAAAACCGATTTTAAGATTTAACATTTTAAAGATTTTTTCGAAAACAACCTTATGTAGAACAAAAAATAAAAAAAAAATACGATACTTAAAAAAATACGTTTGGGAAAAAATAATTTCTAACAATTTTAAAGGAAAAATAAATTTTCGAAAAAGTTCTGGTCAAAACGATTGAATCGAATGAACTTTTTTGGCGATATTATGTTTTGCACTAATTTTTTTGGTTAGATATCAGATTTTTCGATGAACCACAATTTACAACTCAAGCCATGTTTTTTTTTTTAATTTATGCTTACGGTCCTGAGAGGGTTAAGAAATCTTTCTGAATAAGTCGAGAAAAATTCACTCAAGCGAGAGCTTTTATTTATATAAAAATACTTATTTTTTGTCTTTGAATAACTATTAAAATCTACAAACAAATGAATACTTGTTTAACTCAATGCTAATTCAATATTATTTTGCCACTCTCAATGACATTCCTATAATAATGCGCAGATCTTTTGGCTATACGTTCCTTATTTGGGCTCGTCAAATTCACATAGTAAAGACCATATTTCTGACTGCAAGTAAATCAAATAGAGAGAAATGTTAATTTTGTTTGATAGAAAAATATTAAAAGTTGAACTAATTGCAAAAAATAAGTAAAGGAAAAATTAAGGTTAATAAAAAATTGTATGGAACTTACGTGTAGCCCATATTCCACTCGAAATTATCGATTAAACTCCAATGTGAGTAGTGAGTAACATTGCACCCATCATTGACAGCATTGAGCACTGCTTGCAAATGAGACTGAAAAGTAGGACAATAAATTTAAAATTACTAAAAATATGTAAAAAAAAAAATATTTGGAAGATTCGTTTATCTTTTAAATAAGAAATCCGAAAAGCGGGATCCCCGAAATTGTGTTTCATACAAACGTAAATAGCGCCAAAAAATAGACATGGTATTCTCCCTAAATGGAGTTGGTCTCTTAATGCCTCTCTATCAAAGCAAAATACTACGGTCTTGTTCTTAATAGAAGTGGTTTGAAACCAACAATCTAAGGATGTTCAGAGCTTTTGCTTCAGGTCGCTGTCTGAGAACCGACTTTGGACAACCGGTTTGTGCGCAAGCAAAACTTGACAGGGGATGACGGAAACTCGACCCAAAATAAATCGAGTCTGCAAGAGCGAATTCGTGCTTCCATTTCGAAGACGAAGAAGAAGTTCGCAACTAGTATACCTTAGAAAAGCGATCGCCTAAAGCCGATCAACACCTCAGTCTCCGGCTTTCTGGCAATTGCAGCGTTTTTCAACCTGAATTGGAAGTAATTATGCAAGCCGAAATTCAACTAAGAAATGCTCCAATTCTTCCATCAAGCTGAAATCGAATACCTAAATTAGTTGAATATGGGTTCCTAAGTAAACGGAAAATACTGGGAAGGCAAATGAGCCCATTTAGATGAGAACCATCGTATGAAGCGAGTGAAGCCTGCTGCATCCAACGAGCATTGGGCAATGAGCCCACTTGTTGCTTCATAAAGCAGATCTGGGCCAGCCACAAATATAAGTCTCTGATCGCGCTTCAGCGTGCTTTTATGCATTATAATCTGGAACAGAAAAAAAAAAAACAAATGGTTACCCATTGTCTTCACCTGACAAAAGAACAACGACTTCGGGTTTTTAATAAACAGTTATTTCAGTATGCAGCGTACTTGGAACATGTGGACATCAGAAGTGTTCTACGCCTCATCAACACGTCACGATTGTTCTGTCACTGCTTCCTCTCGAGGCATCACAATGAGCCAAAACGGCCTGAGTACGCAGAAGGGTCGCCTCTAACGAAACGTAGCCTAGCCTAACATATACCTAGCCGTCTAAATGGGTTCATGTATTGAAAATTTACCTGGAGATAGTCCACACGATCAGAGTCTTCCAACTGTCCTTCATCCGACCAACCGTTTTCAGTCACATACACCTCTACATTGTCGTAGTGTTCGCGTATCCATCTGAAAATTGGAAAAAAATTTTATGAAGGGGGTTAGGAGATTTGAACTCAATATTAAAAATATGCTTCTCATTTAAGACTCTCACGAAAATTAGAGTGCGCCGTTTTTTTTCTATTTACAAAAGTACTTATGTGGTGTAATTGAACTGTCTGGTTTACACTTAAAAAAGCAGTAACGGTAATTTATTCGTCATGTTTATTTATCATGCATCGAAACTACGGTGACCACCCGTTCTGTTTTTTGCAGTACCGGACTGTTATTCAAAGGTCTGTCCTGCGTAGTTTATCAAAACAGAAAAACCTGAAAATGTACTGATTTTTTCCCAACAAAAAAATTATTATTCAGAATTTTTAGAAAAATTCCAAGTATGCAGTTTTATAGCCCATTAAATTGTAGCTAAAAGTTTTAAGTGGCTAAGAATTCGCGTTGATTTTTGATAATTTTTCTGCCAATGTTGTTATTATTTTCTTACACACAAAAAAAAAAATATTGAAAGATACAGTGACTTACACAAGTGTTCACGTGTTGATTTTTTAATTTGCTCAACTTTTTTAAGTAAAATTTTTGGTGTTATATTTCTGTAAAAATTTTATCCAAGCGTAAGCCAAAACCATATAAATAAATTACTGTTTCAAACTTTATACAAAATTTGGTTTCAAGCGCATAAAAAATCGCGTTGATTTTTGATATATTTTTTTTTTTTTTTTTATAGAACAAGAGCAAATTACAAACAGGGCTTTGATTTTTTTTTTAAATTTTGTTGCGAACGGCCTCCCGCATATTATTTCATACGAAATTCATGCTTATATGGCAAAAAGTTCAAAAATCCGTCAGAAAAAAAAAACAAAATATTTAAAATCAATGCGATACACAACTGCATACACAAATATGTTGTAGAGATTCAGATGAAAATGCTCAAAATTTTGATGAAAGTGTGATAAAGTTTTTTTGGCTTTGTATAAAGTTATAACTCTCTTTTATATGGTTTTGGCTAAAGCTTGGTAAAAGCTTTTATAGAAAAATACCAAACAAAATTTTACTTGAAAAACTTTGTGCATATTAAAAAAAAAAAAAAATCAACACGTGAACACATGTGTAAGTCACTGTACTTTATAGGGAAGAAAACGCGTGATACCGTCTTGCAAAAAAAAAATATCAAAAAACCAACGCCACCACCAATTTGGCAAAAATTAAATAGGCGTATGCATTGACCCTCATTATAAGACCTGTAAACTTTACGTGTGGACCAGGACACCAGGACAATTTTCTGAAATCAGGCTAGATCCTGGTAAACCAGGACGCCTGGCAGCCCTCATTTAGCCACAGTTTGTTTGAAATGAATACTTAGTGGTATATTTAAACATTTTTTTTTCAACCTTCGCGAACTCTTCTGGCTAATACTAATACTATATCACCCTTTCCATATCTTTTTTAATTTAACCGAAGGTATTCTTTAGGTGATCCCCATATACTCACTTTAGTATATCTTCCAGTCCCTGTGGCACGCAGTACAACCAATCGGATTTACCCTGCTTCCACTGCTCATCAACCGAATACTGCAACTGTGAATCGTATTCCCACGAAGGTACGTCACCAGTAGCTGGATGTGCCATTTCCGCATAACGTGAGGTGTAATAATTTAGACCCAAAAAGTCACCAGAGCCCTTGATAATTGATGACCAAAACTCATCGAAAGCGGGTAAACGAGACCAGGATAGGCCCTCACGCATACTGTTATTTCGAATGTCGTCCAAAATAAGCTGATGATAGTTGCCAGTCTTGCCGTAAATGGGATTAGCCAACCAACCGAGCTGAAAAGCAAGGAAAGTATTACGCATTTAGAAATAAATTCGTATTCGATAGCAGCTTCAAAGACATGAAAGTTCAATTAATTTTCAATTACCGAGTATTGCATAGCGCGTTCGATGATCTCCTCATCAGCGCCACCCTGTTGCGTATAGTAGAACCGACTGCTAATTGTGATGCCAATTTTACCGCCTTGCATATCGAAATATTTCGCCCGATACGCTCGATAGGCGGCAGCGTGCGCGCGTAACGTATTATCCATGCAAAGATAATCACCCACACCGGGTGAATGTACCAGTGGTGGGAAGTTGGCCTTGCCATAGCCCAGCACACAATAGTCGAAGGGTTCATTGAAGGTAATCCACTTCTTGACGCGATCACCAAATGTCTCAAATAGGAATTCAGCATAGTAGCGGAAATATTTAATGATGATATCATTGGTGAAACCACCGAATTTGTTCAGTGCATCAGGCAGATCGCAATGAAACATTGTCACCATGGGTTCAATATTATTTGCCAGCAATTTATCAATCATCTTGTTGTAATAGTCAATGCCCTTTTGATTAATCACCGATGTATCGGCGTTGGGTAGCAAGCGAGGCCACGAGAACGAGAAGCGATAGAATTTGACCTGAGAGGCGGCAGCACGTGCATGAAATGAAATGATATGAAAATTACAAAAAAAAAAAAGAAAGCATACGAGTATTTCCCTCATACCTTAAGTGCCTTTAGCGCCGCTAAGTCCTGCTCGAAACGATGATACGATTCTGCTGCCGTATCACCATTGCTGCGATCGCGTATTCTCTCTGGATTGTCATGCGTGTATGTATCCCAAATGGAGAGTCCTTTGCCATCCTCATTCCAAGCGCCTTCTATCTGATAGGCTGCGGTCGATGCACCAAAAGAGAAATCTGTTGGAAATTCCTTGTTTTCGCCTTTGTGTTGTAATTTGCATTTTTCGGTCGCGACTTTGCTGAGAAAGTGCAAGCTGCAAGAAATTTTGCGTTATATTAACTCTTGTTTAGCATTAATATCCTTAGAATTGGTATTTACCAGAGTGCAAGGATAAATAAAGCTTTCATTGCACTGATCTATGTAAATGTTAGCTGGAATTCAATTTTGTTGCTTTCACTTTGAGGTAACTGAGCGGAATGTTTCGAATGTTGTGCTTTAATCGATAAAGAAAAGTACGCCACTTTCACTGGAGTCAGTGTAATTACATGTACATATGTATGCACATATGTACGTATTAATAAGATGCCGACAAGCCCCATGCATTAATATGAATGAAAGGAGATAAAAAAATACACTGACGAAAAAAATGTTGGTTGATAATTATAGCCTCGTACATTGAGAACAGCAATTATTTTTATGGAACATAAACTTCACAATAGACTAGAAGACGAACATGAATTCAAAAATGATAGAGGGCATAGTTATCGATATCGAGAAATATTCATATCGATAACGACACATATTTATCGATATCGAAAAACGATAACGACACATATTTATCGATATCGACAAACACTCATATCGCTAACGGCACATATTTATCGATATCGAAAAATATTAATATCAATAACGTTACATATATATTGATATAGAAAAATATTCATATGGATGACGACACATATTTATCGATATCAAAAAATATTCATATCGATAACCACGCGTATTTAGCGATATCGACAAATATGACTATCGATAACGATAAATATTCCGATAACGATGTCGCAATTGTTTAACAATCGATAACACAACAAATAATTAAGGATTATAATATAATAACCATGTCGATTATAGTATCGATATTGATATTGGCATATACATATATCGATAGTAATACCGATAAAGATATCCTTTAATAAAACGATATTGATACGAAGAAAGATGTTAGGCAATTTTGATTTCAGAGAATGAGCAATGAACACGGTGTGAGGTTTTGGTGAGTAGTACCGGTATCCATGGACAATCGGTAAATTTCGCCGAAGATGGTAATGGTAATTTGTGTCGGGGTCAATGAACGACCGGGAGATATACTGGCTAATCGCCTGATAGCTTTTGGCAACGATGATAATACCAGTGACTGCTGGTTGCTCTAGATGTGTGGTGGGGGTAGTAGTGATCGTCTTTTGGCTTGCCCGATATCTTCTTGTAGCGGTAAAAATATGGTGAAATTGTTGTATCGCCCGATAGCTGTTGGTAAACGGTGCAAACATCGGATGGTGTGCAATGGCGCCTGGCTGCTCTCGGTGGTAACTGATTCTAAAACACGCTGACGGAGACCGGCTCGGCTCAAATGGGAATATAGAAGCAGCAAGGTATAGCCAATGTCACCGCTACAGTCCCACACTTCAACAGCAGGTGCTGGAGAGGAACAAACACAAGGCTGGACTATTTCAGGATCCCTCAGCCGGTTCCGTGTGGCCAAATATTTTACGAAAAAGCTGAAGGAATTTAAAGCCGTGTTCTAACAAAGTCACAAATCTGAGCTCATCCCTGACATGATTTCCACTGCGCCTCAAAGTTTGCCGCTGCAACAAATAAGCCGCTGCAACATGAATTTTTAAGTTTTTGTGTATTTTTCTAGCACTTAACATCAAATTTTTGTAGACGATTTTCCGGCGCACTAGAAATCCCAACAGTGATGAGCTAAGTTGACTCTGTTGTAATAGGGGGATTCATATATTCATATGGCTTTCACTTGCACGTAGAAAAACTTCCTGAGAAAACAATAGCCACCTTTGACACAGAAAAAAATACTCGCTATATGGCGCTTTCGTCTAAAAAGCATATTTAAGAAATATATATTTTTTTAGAAGAAACTACATTGGGCCTCATGCATAAAAAGTGAATACCATTACAAATTGTTGAGCTTGAGCTCACTCCTTTGGTGCCAGAATTGAGTCGGAGCATTAGGCCCATTGTCTTCGAGAGAAATTAGGCCTACTAGGTGGCGCAGTGGTCGATATGTTCTAGAAAAATCGCATCCTCTACCAAATTTTAATACCTGCTATGAAAAAGAATTAGCTACATACGAAGAAAAGCATTGGCTAAAAATAGACCAAAAAGGTTTTCTAGTAGCCAGGTGGCCGCTGTGGTGTAGTGGTAAGCAGTGCGCGCTACCACTCCGCAGGGTCTGGCTACAAGCCCTGGCCAAAGAAACATCGCAAAAAACAAAAACTACTGTAAAAAAAGGTGTTTTCTTAATAGCGGTCGCCCCTCGGCAGGCAATGGCAAACCACCGAGTGTATTTCTGCCATGAAAAACAGCTTCTCATAAAAATACAACCGCCGTTCGGAGTCGCACGCCACAAATCGGAGGCCAAACACTAACATATAGTATATAAGTGCCAACCTATTATTATTATTATTATTAGAAACTTAAAGATTTTAAAAAGGGCTACCATCTCCCGGTGCAGTTTTATTATTGAAAATTAATTTTTTTTTAATTCCGCCTCCCCCTTATTCGAAAATGAAAATTAAAGAATTTTGCAGAGTAAAATGAATTAACATTATACTTAAATAGTTTCTAATAGGGTTGCCACCTATTCCAATCTTCATAACAAATAAATCGGTTAATTACAATATGTTTTTCGAAATAGGTTAGCTAAGTATGTTATTCAACGTTTCTAAGGATATCGTTGATATCTTCGGCAATTCCAGACAGATCTTAAGGCATGCCTCTTCGATTTTTTTTGTCTTAAGGCTACAAGTTTTTTGGTCCAAAGTTCATTGACCTCAAGTACCCCGCTGTAGTACTTTTCCACCAGATCTCAGTTCTTATCACCCTAAGTTACTATCCTTATGTCAGTAAAGAAAGCATTCAAATTTTTCTATGGATATATTGCGTTTATTCCAAAAGTAATATTTCTAAAAAAAATTGTGTTGATTGAGAAATCGTGTTGAAGATCATCGCCTCATCAAAAATTTTATAACTTAAAGGGGTTTTTGGTAAATTTTAGAGTTAGTAAAATCCATACCAAATACAGCTTGTGAGGACGGTTGCACCTTTTTTAAAATCTCTCTAGAAGAACGAAGATTAAACGAAAAAACAATGAAACGATCTCTTAAGTACATAGAACATTTTGGCTCGAAATTTTAGCTTCCGAATCATGAAGATCTCGTTGGATGTAGCAGAGCTGAGCAAGAATAAGATATCATGCGGCCTTTTCTTCGCGAACACTTTTTTTAAGGAACTGAAAAGCATAAGCACAGTCTTACCAAAAAATTGCTTCATGATATTCACTCTAGCGAATGCGAATAATTTGTTGTCCTAACTAGTCTTGAGTTACTTTCAAAACATTTTTCGAGAAAATTCTCTACTCTAAACTACGAAAAAATATTAAAATCTTAGCCGTTAAATCAATCAATTGTCCGATTACTAAAATTGTCCGTTTTTATTTGTTTTTAATTGAAACCCCAGCAAAATATTCAATGTTACGGCTTGACTGCCAACACAACGGACTCATAAATAACTCATGCGGATAACAACAAATAAAAATAACATAGCCTCTCAACACTGATAAGCCAACGCTGTGAAAGACCTTTGAGAGGGCCAAAGGCAGCGCACGAACGCGCACTTCCTCTAAAAAAAAAAAAAAATAAAAAACTGGCTTGCATCAGCGGCGATTCGTGCCACGAGGGAATGACCAGCGGAAAAGGGGGCAGCGACGAACGAATGGCAACACTATTCATGAGCACTAAAGTGTTGATCGGCCTGCCAATTCGCGCAAAATCTGCTCAATTTGTTTTCAGTATAGATTTAGCATGAAGCGCGAACGCTTAGAAGTAAATTTAAGTGCGATAAAACTAAATTTGCTAAAAATTTTAAACGCGTTTTTGGGGGTGTGAAATCAGCAAAAAAAAGTGTTTCAAAAGTGACAAAAGCGTTTAAAAATAGAATTGAAGAACGCAAAAAAATTTTAAAAAAAGTTTTGCAAAGTAAAGAAAGATTTTGGAGAATAAAAAATGTTCGCACCGAAAATTCAACAAAAGTGTGGAACAAATTAAAATTGATTAAACCTCTACGGAAGAAAAACGTTGAGCAAACGCCCCTTTTTCCTATGTTACCATGACAACACTTTTAGTACGTAAGACATCACATACTTTTTTGTTGCTGTTGCTATGCCTACACTTCATTGCATTTGTTGCCAATGCAGAGGCGCAGTGGCAGCGGCGGCGGCAGCGGAATCGACGACAACGTCTACCCTATGCAATGACTGAAGAACCCTCCGACGGTTATGATGATGATGACGCGGAATCAAACGACGTGACTCCTTATCAGCAGCGCTCCTCCTACCGGCGGAGCAATGCACGTCGCAGACAATTTGATGTAGACGATGCAAACTATCAACAACTAAATAATCGTCAGTTGACAACATCAGGCTCACAACAACTGACGCGGCGTCAACTACGTAAAGACCAACGACGTCTACCGAAGCAAGCAAGAGGTCAAATGCGGTCTGGTGAAATGCAAATGGACGGAAATAAATGCCATATTTGGGTGCCGTAAGTGTGGGTTGTGGGAGCGGGGGGATATTGAAATGTAAATGGGGGTCGTTAACTGATAAACTTTCATACATTTTAGCTTTTACATAAATAAAGATCAGAATAGTGAGACATATTGCTACATATTGAAAGTACGAGTCAATATAGTAATTGGGCGATTCTGGCTAAGTTAGTAAAAAGTCTTTCGTAAGAAAAATTAAAGACGGATTGCAATGTAGTAAGAAACACTTTCGTTATTCTTTCACCAAAGTTTTACAGGGTAATTCTGGCAACTATTTTTCCCCTGACTACAGTCTTTCGAAAGACAAAAGTCTTTCGTAATAAAATTGTCAATTCTAGCAACTGTATTGAAAGCTCTTTACAGTCTTTCGAAATAGTAATTGAAAGACCTTTTAGCATTCAGTGTTTTTTTTTTTTTAATTAAGTTAAATAAAACAAATACATATATATTTTTTCGCTTTAAACCAATAAAAATTATTAAATCAAAGAAAGTTTTATTATAAAAAAAAATCAGAAAAAAAAGTAAATAGAACTCAAAAATATTTTGATTAATAAGAAACAAAAAAAAAATAAAAAAAATTAATAAGATCCTGAAAGTCCAAAAAGAATGACCAATCAAAAAAAAAATAAAAAAAAATTAGTTTCTAAAAAAAATAAAATTAAAAAAAATTTTATTATTCTTTTCCTTACAGTAAAATCTAAAAACTTAAAAGAAAATTTAACTAAAAAAATGATAAAAGAATAAGTTCCTAAAAATTAAATTAAATTTAAAAAATAACTTCTTAAACAATATAACAATCAAGCCATTAAAGAAAAAAGAAAAAATAAAATAAATTGAAATTGAAGCACTTTTGGCAAATAAACGTGCAAGAACTTGTTCCGATACTAGCAAGTCAATGTTCTTATTAAGTCTCATCGAAAAAATCCTTGTCGCTTAAAGGATAACGACATAAACTACTATTCCATACGAACACAAATATATCCTTTTCAAAAATTAAAAATAAAAAATTGGAAAAATTAAATTAAAAAAGAAAAAAAACATAGTTTAAAAAAAAGCTCTGCTGCGCCAGTACTCTCACTCGAATCTCTCGATTGGCACGCCTGTTCGTGGCCAAGGATTGTTGCGATTGTAGGAGTGGCGCGAGCTCAATATAATGATTAAGAGAGCTTTTTTACTAAGACTTTTGTACTAGAATGTTAAAAGTCTTTCGAACTATCTTGCCATCTGTCTTTCATTTGTCTTACGATAGACTTTTTGCTATCTTATTTCATTAAAGCTCTCTAAAATGTCTTTGGTCTGATGCACTGACGTAAAAGGTTTTGATATTTATTAAAAAATTCGTAAAAAAATAATTTTATTGAAATATGGGGTACATTTATTTTAATAAATCTTTTACCTTCGTAAACTAAAAATTAATGTCGGCTTTCGTCAAAAATACGTCCGAATTCAAGCTTTTTCCATTTTTCGAGGCTCTTTCCTTTGTTTTAAATATTGACTACCTCGTTTGTATATTTTTCACACTGTGCGAAAAGTTTTAAGTATCCTCTTACGAACCAAATTTTGTCCCATACATATCTCTGGAATGCTAACATTAATTTACTCCGACAGCACCGAGGTGGTTGACAAGTACCCCTACGCGCAACGCATCCAACAAGATCAACGCAATCAACAACAAAAAATACAAGTCTGCTGTGCTGGCTATGCGCCAATGCGTTGGCGTGGCAATACCATCTGCAAGCCAGTTTGTGACAATTGTCGCAACGGTCACTGTGTTGCGCCCAACGAATGTGAATGCTTCGACAATTTTGTGGCCAATGATAATGGCGATTGTGTATTCACTTGCCCGCTGGGTTGTCTCAATGGTCGCTGCTTTCTCGATGGCACCTGTCAATGTGATCCCGGCTACAAATTGGATGAGACACGTAAGTTTTGTCGACCCATTTGCAGTAGCGGCTGTGGCATGAATCCGCGACACAATTGCACTGAACCCGAGGTGTGTGGCTGCGCGAAAGGATATCAACTAACTGATGAAGGCTGCCAGCCGGTATGCGATCCGGACTGCGGGGAGGGCGGCGAGTGTCGCGAGCCCAACGAATGTTACTGTGCGCCTGGCTATGAGCTGAAGGAGGGCGTGTGTCAGCGGGAGTGTTATCAGTGAGTTTCTGAGAGTTTTGTAATTTATGTGGAAATTTATATAACTTTTTTCTTTGTTTGCAGAAAATGTGATAATGGCATTTGTTATAGCATTAATCGGTGTATCTGCAATCCTGGTTTCACATATCATGAACGCTCGACGCAATGTGTGCCAAATTAGTTTTAGTTTTTCTGGCCTATGTTTGTAGATTTAAATACACTTTGCAGTATATGGGGATGTATACTTATCATAGTTTTAATGTGATAGCTATATATACATTTGTTTAGTATATTTATTTAAGAGATTTGAAAAAAAAACGTCTTCTTTACACCGAAAATAGGCGGTAGTTTTTCTTGGAAGCAAAGCGAATAGCTTATTGGATATATTCTTTGTTTCGGAGATGATACAGATATAGCACGAGGATTATCAATAGTGACGTGCTTGTGAAATAATGAGAACATGCGACTAAAAGAGGTGAATGTCGCTAGTCGGTATAGAAGTAAGGCAAATTATAATAATATATACTAATTACACACACGTGAAAATGTTATGAAAGCTCGTTCGTTAAGATCTCTCTATACTTAAGGCACTCAAAGAGATATATGATATAATGCTAAAAAGTCTTCGCCGTTCAAAAGGCAAAAAACCTCAGCCAGATCCAAATACAGTTCTCCAAAAAATTTCGAACGCTTCACATATTTTCTTCAGCGCCGAAGTTGCAAACGGAACATGAAATAGAGTCGACTCTCTTAAAGGATCTCGCATTGAAGTTTAAAAGCCCCCTTCTTTCACGAACGATTAGACTTGTATTATGCGCCGAAATCACGAAGACTTATATCTAGCCATGTTTTGCAAAGTTTAGGGCGTTTTCATAAAACAACGCAAAATCATTCTTAGCGTTTTTTTCTAACAATAGCGGCTTGTATAACCTTAGAGATTCGGGGCTAAACTCAGTCAACTGCTCGCTCAAGTTTCTCTATGCTGTCATATATTATAATGCCCCAAACTTTTACACGGTAAAACATTATCGATCTTGAAATCGCATCGAATATTTTTTTATTTATTTGATATAAAAAAAAGTAAGTGCGTCTGAATCATACTGGAAAGGTGAAACTTACGTTACATATTTATTTTGTCTCATAACCAATAAACATACATATGTACATTACATAGATCCATCTGCTTTGGCTTCAGGTTATATTTTTTTTGTTTTTTCTATCTAGATTTACATTCGTTATTCTGTTTTCCTTTATCTTCATTTTTATCTTTATACTCTGTCGATAAAAAAGTCGATAGTAACATCCATAACATAAAAATATCTATAACAAAACCGACGACAAATTCGATAAAAATTTCGATAGCAAAATCGATTAGAAAATCTATAAAAATATCGATAACGAAATCGTTAAATAACGATAAATAATTTTGTTTTGTTTTTATTTTTACCTTTTCCTTTATCCTTTTCTTTATCTAAGTGTTATTCTTTTATTGGCAAGTTTTGGTTAAATTAATACCATGTGTAGAAACTCAATAAGCACTTGTTTCAGCTCCAACCATTTCCGTTTCAACATTTCCGTTACGTCATTTCCGTTGCACCATTTCCATTTCACCATTTCCGTGTACAATTTCCGTTGAATATTTTGACCATTCCACACTGGGACTCTTTAAGTCGCTGCTTGAAATGTTTTTATAGGACAACTTATAATTTAATAGGAGTTCGAGGTACTTGTAATCATTTACGATATCCATGGGCTTATTGTCGTACTTCCAACTCCATTCGGAGGGGGCGCTACTACTTTTCCTAAAAACCAAGATATTTGATTTCGCCAAATTGACTTCTAGACCCCATTGCCTACTATAATCACACATTGCATCAATAATCTCTTGTAGTACCTCAGAGACTCAGCAAGCAATACGAAGTCGTCCGCGTACATTAGCAGTTTTACCGGCTTATCCGCGACTGTCACGCCGACTGGCAGACCTGCAGACCACCTGTGGTTATTATGTTGTTGTGCTGTGGTGACTGTGTGAGGCTGCTTAGGTGGACTGAGGTTAGCCGTGGAGGCTGCTCTGTTTGAGAAGCAGGGGGCCACGTACGACGTGGTCCACTGCCGATGTGACCGTAGTCCTGAGCCGACTCAAAGGTGACTCCACCCCTCGCAGGCATTACACTTGACTGAGGTGGATTTGTGGTGTAGTCGTTTCTGGCATACACAGCAGGTGTAGATATCTGGACCTGGGTTTGACTCGATGCCAGCCCTGAGTAGAAGAATGCTTAGCGAATGTAACCCCATGGACGAGCAACTTCTGAGATATTTCGCCGACCTAAACGAGGTTAGATCGCTGAAACAACGGCCCTTGGTCGGGTAAAACCCGAGTCATTCCGGTACGTAGAACCGACTGTCGTGGGAATACCTCCTGTCGCCTGCTGCCCGGCAGGATATCACCCTGATATAGGTGCGCTCCTCAGGGGTGAAAACCGTATGGTAGTAGGTGACTTTAATGAGCACCACGATCTTTGGCACTCAAGCCTGTCAAACGATCGTAGGGGAATAGACATGGCTGAGCAGATGGACGATTCGACATTCTGCACAAAGCACGAGGACGCACCCACCAGGATTATGGGTAACTGCAGCAGCTCGCCAGACATCACCATACTCAGCGCTGGTCTGATAAACAGCATAACATGGCGACCTATGCTGACTTTAGCCATCAGACCATCTACCCATAGTCATCTCGATAGATAAACCAACCGACTTTGCCTCCGCTATATACCGGACCTATATCACCTTCTGTAAAGCTGATTGGAAAGGTTACACGGAGTTTACTGAAAACACCTTCACTGCGCTTCCTACTTCAACCGACGTCCATCTCGGTGAACGTAAGTACCGCAGGGCTGTCACCGCTGCTGCAGCTCGCTTCATACCGGTAGGATGTATAACGGACCCACGTCCAAACTTCCCTGCCGAAGCGGCTGTTCTAGCCGATAAGCGCGATAGCCTTCGGCAGGCCGATCCCGGAGATCCCCGTATCAGGGATCTCAACGCAGAGATTCGGCAACTAGTAAACGTACATAAGCGGAAGAAGTGGGAAGAGCATCTGAAGACCTGTAACTTCACCTCTGGTGTGAGTAAGCTTTGGTCAACCGTGAGGTTACTGTCCAATCCGACGAAGCACGATGACAGAGTCGAAATTTTTTTCGGCGACCATGCTTCGTCGGACCCGGAGCGATGCGCGAGCTATTTTAGCCGCCAGTTCATACTGCATCTTCCGGTGGACAAAGCCAAGCGTCGAGTGAGACCATTAGGCTGCACAAACTGCCAACAACCTGTGCCCCCTTGCATTTACGTGCGGTGAAGTTCAGGTGGCCATTGGGAAGGCGAAAGCCTCCAAAGCCATGGGTGCCGACGGAATATGCATGCTGATGCTGAAAAATTTGGGCCCTGCGGGGGTAGCGTACCAAACGGAGGTCCTCAATTTGTCTATGGCCGCTCTCATCATCCCAGACATCTGGAAGGTGGGGAGAGTGGTCCTACTGCTCAAACCGGGGAAACCTGCGAACATAGGAGATTCTTATCGTCCGATAACACTCCTTTCCCTGGTAGCGAAGACACTCGAGGCCTTGCTACTCCCGTATTTCACAAACCACTTGACCTCAGCGAAGCATCTGCATGGTTTCCGTAAAGTGCATAGTACAACAATAGCATTTAATGCCATAAACACTCAGATAACTCGTGGCCTTAACCGAAACCGTCCCTGTGAGAGAACGATTCTAGTAGCGGTGGACTTGTCAAAGGCGTTTGACACCGTCTGCCATTCCACGCTACTAAAAGATATAGAGGCTTCCTCTCTCCCACAGAGGCTCAAACGGTGGTCGGCAAATTATCTGAGTGGTCGACACTCGTCGGTATTGTTTAGAGACAAATCGAGTAAACTTAGAAAAATAAAACAGGGGGTTCCACACGGCGGTGTCCTTTCCCCGCTACTGTTTAACTTTAACATTTCAAAGCTCCCTCAACCACCAGAGGGAGTCTCGATTGTCTCTTACGCCGACGATTGCTCGATCATGGCGACTGGGAATGGAATTGATGACCTGTGTTCGAAAAAAAACGGGTATATCTCCGAACTTTCTCACTTCTTCACTGCAAAGTGTCTAGCCCTCCCCCCTACGAAATCCTCTGCGACCCTGTTCACAACCTGGACGAAGGAGGTCAGGCTACCGCTGGGAATTCACGTCGATGACACACCAATTCCGACGGTGAATAACCCCAAAATACTCGGAGTAACATTCGACAGCCTGCTCTCCTTCTCTGCGCACGCAACCGCTATTGTCAACAAAGTACAGAGCCGCAACAAAGTCCTCAAGTCGCTAGCCGGCAGTACTTGGGGCAAAGACAAAGAAACGTTGCTGGCAACATACAAGGCAATAGGCCGGCCGGTTTTAAACTACGCAGTGCCAGTGTGGTCGCCGGGGACTAGTAGGACGCAGTGGACGAAGCTACTGACTGTACAGAACACCGCACTCAGAAGAGCGACAGGATGCCTCCTGATGTCGCCAGAACATCACCTCCACAACAGGTTCATCAAGCAACCTCTGGACCCGTCAGCTTACCGACTGGCCCTGAACGGCATTCACAGGTAGGCAGTCTCGAGTTATGTAGCCCAATAACCCAACTCCGCCGCTCTGGCTACTGCAGCAGGTTAAACTCCTACCTGAGTAGATTGAATGAGCCATTACAACAACAACAACAACCACCTGTGGTCATGCAAGTCATTAAGGTACAATGTAAACAACAGCGAGCTTAGAAGGCAACCCAGACTTACCTCTTGCTTTAAGATATTTACAAAAAACGCATTACACTTTTATTCATATGAAAGTTCAGGAAGCCCGCTTGAAACTCGTTAATAATATTTTTAAAGTCAACCTCAGCGTGAATGGGAATAATTAGGAGGCCGGTAAAGATTTTATATATAGCGTCAAGTAGCGAGAGATCTGAGTAATTCTTGACACGATCCCGATCGCCATTATTAAACAGAGTTTGTAATATGGCTGTGTCGTTATGGCAGATGACCATCGATGTCTTCATTCTTATTTCAACACTTATCATCTAGATTAATACTGAAGATAAATCAAGATGAATATTTTTATTATGAAAATCCATTGAATGTAGCAAAGAGTTTGACTTGCTACATATATTGAGCTTGCCCGAAAGAAACTTACATATCAATATACTTTATGATATTGCAATATCATTCGGTGGAATGTTAACTTTACATAGCATTAACATTTACAGCGACGGCGCTAACAGTGAACTTGCCTTTTGATCTCGAATGCCTGTAAAATCTTGCATATTTGTAGGGATGGCTATTAAATATGTGTGTAAAATTTAGCCACTGTAAAAAATACAAAAATTAAATAAAGATATCGTGGCCAAGCCACCAAAAGAGGTAAGCGAAATTTTTACCCTCGTAACCAAAATTATCTTTTTGATGCAGAAATGCATCTATATGCTCTAGGAGTATTTCTGCATGAAAAATAAAAATTTGAAAAAAAGAACTGTGGCTTACATCTTTTTGGCGGTTAGGGGTCAATATGAATAAATATTTATGGCCAGTAATTTCGCGGTAAATAAGCAAGCGCTTTTACAAAATCGGTTTTATATGACTTTCATGAAAATCACGCACTTACTCCTTTCAAGCGGGATGTTCTCAGCTGCCACAGAAAAAGTGGAAAGGTATCACAACCCTTTCGGCATCGACTGGCGTGGGTTTGTAGTTCTTTTCCTTATTTCTGCCTACGCTCTGTTTGGCTCTTAAGTCAGTTGTAGGTATTCTAGATCTGCCTAATCATATAGAGCGAGGCGGCCCATGCCGTTCGCGTGGTATTTACGCACTTAGTGCAGCTACGAGTCTTACCTTATTTGCAACGACTTCCACTTGCATGGTCTGGTAAGCGAATGGATGACTTCAGATTGAGTTGCTTAATGAAAATCCCTACACTTACCTCGCACTCCACCTTTATACTATATTACTTATGTTACTATATGCCAACTTTATTTACATTACAATCTACAGTGGAAAAATGCTTGTCTTTTACTTTCTCTTTTTACTAAGTTTGTATTGTCTTAAGTCTTTCTGTAATGAAACCAGTTTAAAAGTCGTCTCAAACTGCTACAAGGCAGATCAATTTCGATTTTTCCAACCCCATCTTGGGATAGAACGAAAATTTCTGAGTACATACCCAGACGGTAAAATTACGAGCGCTTCTAAGTAAATTATTTCAGGAAACACTTTTTCTATAAGAGCTCATCTTTGAAAGCTGTTTTGGAAGATATTTTGATCAGGGACCGAGAACAAAAGATATGATCGATACTAAATGTCGTTCTCGTAGTTCTGTTCCAAAGAACGCTTCAAAACCAAAACCTAAATGAGAACAATCGTCTGCAATCAAAATTTCATTTTCTTTAATTTCCCTTTTTTGAGGATCACTTTTCCTCATCTATTAAAATTTAAATATTTTACAAGCATTCATTTATAATATTTTTAATAAAAATACTGTTTATTGCTTCATATCCGACATTGTATAAAATTTATGCTATAAATACATAAATCATAAATGAGATTTTCCACATTCCTAGAAAATATTTGTATGGTGTAGGGTTAAGGTTAATTGACTAAAATTTCATAAGTAGACTGATAGGAATATCGTGTGCACCTGAAAAGAAAGGAAACGATTTTTAAAAGATCTTTAATATAATTTTAGCATAGTTTTATTTTGTAAACATAAAATTTTCTAATCTAAGAATTCCTGCCAAATTTTCAGAGTAAGATTTAATCTTATTTATCTATAAGATATACATTTTAGACGCCCTGTATGCCTTGAATATATTGTTGTTATTGTTGTAGTAGCAACAAATTCCCCAAAAAATCTCCTGGGGATTGGTGCTGGAGTGGCAGTCCTCTAGGCCTGGTGTGAATTTGGGTCGTTCCGTGGAACCTTAAAGAGGCTTTGCTCAATCACTCATTTATCGTTCAATAACTATGAAAATAAGTTTTCTGTATAGTGTATGCAAGAGCAAAATAGAAAGAGTCATCCCCCAAGCTCCTCTCGATGGTTGTGACTTCCTTTCGAAAGTAGGCTATGGAAGCCTTACTAAATGTTCTTCCAGCAACCGTCTTTGAAATGCCGCGATCAATTACAGCAACAAAAAATTTTGCCACCAAATTGTGTTGAATATCAGATGATCCATGACTGATCAGTACTCGACGCAACGCATATTTGCATAAAGGAGTGACTAAAAAGGCGTGCAGGATAAAAATCCAAATTCCAATCCATTTAGCGTAGATATATAGTGGGATGAGATGAATTCAGTAAACTCCTATTAAGTGACATCCCCATTCTACCTGATTATGACCCAAAGCAAGTTTGCCATTTTGATTCCACAGTTTGAGACACCTACAGCCATCTGGCCGCTTTAATAAATTTCAGAACGTCATACAGGGAGAGGCAGCTGCACTCTGATAATACTGGATAATACTACACGATCCTTTACGGTTCCCCCTCTTCTTGGCCGATGATACATTTTGGATATTTTTGTTTTGATCTCCCTGAGCGAGGCCTCCATGTTCACCGCGTGGGACATATTCAGTGCGGAGCCCCACCTTACTAGTTCGTCCGCGGCCTCGGACGGGAGTTGTAATACTCTTTGGTCTATAACGAGTTGATTAGATTTTCAGATTAAAGGACGAATAATAAGATAAATGTGTCTAAAGATCAATTTAACCGTGTATTTTATTTGCGTCCTCGAAAGCTTAGCGGTCCTGAACTTGGTGAGGAGGTGCCATGAACTTTCTGGAAGAGGTGGCCACCCCAATCGTATAAAATCTAACCCAACCGACTCTTCAATAAACTTGTAATATATCTTTACCACAACAACTCAAATATATTTAAATGCGTCCTTTTTTCCAGCGCCCAACCCATACTAAATCTCTATACCCAACATTTATAAGAAACTCTCAGTCCACTCACCCGTTTCATGTCGCGTTTGATAAATGCGCACACATAAGTAAACGATGGCAATTAGCATTAAAACAATAATGATAACACCGCCGATCAGAATCCATAATTGTCCTTCGTTGCTTGCGTTTTTAAAGCGTCTGGATGTAGTCCTATTATATCCGCATATATAACTTCTCGTTTCCGCAGGGCTGCTGTATATTATCCGCTTATCTATCTCATTGCAATGCAAATATTGCTCAGCAATGCATTTCTCACTATCTACAGGACCAATTTCAAAACACATCTGTTGTACGGTCTCCTCCAACCAACAATAACAGCTGTCCTTACATACTTCCAAATCGCCTTTTGGCATTAGAGCTTCTGCAATCTGCTTTTCATCGACCGTTGTTAGCGACTCAGCAATTATACCTTTGGTGAACCAGGCATCGTTGTAAGCAGTCGAAGAGATTATCAATGCAGTTGCAGCTTTAGCCATGGTTGTTTTGTAAATATCTGGCGTTGTTTCTGTCGTATCTGTAGCAGCTTCCGTTGTCATACCAGTCGTGGAAATTGGTACACACTTTGTCATCTCCCCACTTGTGTTTAACTCAAAACCATGTTCACAAGCGCATTGGCCCGGTGCCACGCAAATGCCATGCTCACAGCCATGGCCACACTCTGGCCTACAAATATGCGCTTGAGTTGCGTTTTCATGCGGCACATAACCCTCGCGACACAAGCAAATATCCGGCGCAGCGCAGTCTGCGTTGATGCAAGCGTTCAGACAGATTGGCTCGCACTTGTTGTAGTCATGCGCGGACAGCCGATAACCTTCATCGCAGGCACAGATTTCCGGTTCGATGCAGCGTCCGTGTTGACACCCTTTGCTGCAGACAGGTTCGCAAATACCCTGCGCGCCCATCAGGTAACCCGGTTGGCAGACACAAACTTCTGGCGCGAAGCAGATGCCATGCGGACAGCCGTTGGCACATTTCGGCTGACAATAGGGCTCGAGAGCGTGTGCTTTAGTAGCTGTGCTATTGACGTGCTCATAGCCGTCGAAGCACTGGCATACATTTGGCGCCACACACTTTCCATTGAGGCTGCAATTTTGCGTACATTGCGCTTGACAATAGGGACGATGCTGCGGCAAGTGAATCATTAGATAACCGGATGCGCATTCGCATTGATTTGGCCGCATGCAACTGGCATAAAGCGGACAGCGCTCTGCACATACGGGCACACACATACTATTGTTGGTCGTTGTGCCTTCGGCCTCCTCCTCCTCTGGCGTGTGCATTGTATAGCCTTCTTCACAGCGACAGACGTCCGGTGCCATACAGTGGCTATGCGCCGGACAACCCTCACTGCAAACGGGCACGCACTCATCCGTGGCTACGCCGGTGGTCTGCTCTGCGCTTTCCGTAGGGTTTGTTTTTAGAACATAGCCAGTGCGGCAAGCGCATTGATCTGGCGCTTGACAGTACATATTCAAGGGGCAGCCATTTTTGCACTCCGGCACACATTCTTGCCCATCGACGGTTAGTTTGTAGCCTTCAGCGCATCGACATGTCTCTGGCGCTGCACAGCTGGCACGTTGTGGACAGGGAGCTGTGCAAACCGGTTGGCAACTGCCGTCGACATGTTCTTCGTAGCCCTGGTCGCACGTGCATTCGAAAGGGCTTGTACAGGTGCTGTTCGCCGGGCAGCCGGCCGGACATTTCGGCTTGCAAACAATTTTATCAGGATCGGATGTCGTCGAGCTGTAACCGAAGTTACAACTGCAACGCTGCGGTCCGGAGCAGCGACTGTTGGCGGGACAGCTAGGTGCGCAAATCCGCTCACAGACGGAGTCTCTTTCGATGTAGCCAGGGCAACAAACCCAAAATATCTCGGTTGTTGAGTAGTACTGTAAGAAATTAAGTGAAATATATAACAAATATTTTTGCATATTTTTTTTGATAAGGAACATAATATGGGTATCATGGAAATGCGCAAATGCCTCGTAACCGCGTAAATCTCGTAAATAAACCGATTTTCCATACAAAATTACGTAAGTTAGTGTGTTCGACCACTTGTTTATATGGTAACAAATTAACCAAACCTTCAATAAAACATAAATAAAAAATTTTCTAAAATCAATGATGAGTCCAGGCTATTTCAAATTTGCTTCCCGTTTACAGGGTTGCTTTTTATTCATTTTATTTCGTTCTTTAATAAAATAAGTAACAGACAATATTTTTGTCATTAAAAATTCTTCAAACGGCGAGCGTCAACCGAAAAATACCGACAATGAAATATACATATGGGGCTGGATGAAGACAAAAATTGCCGTTCTATTTGACGGTGCACTTTAACTCCTGCGCTACTTCCTTAAAAACTTAATAAACATTTATTGAAAACTAGCAGACCTCGTATGCGTGAGGCTTCGCCACGCGCCGCATGTGTTAGATATTAAATAAGATGCGATTCACAACTAAACAGGTTGCAACCCTACTAAAAAAAATAATATATAATTACGCATCTGGAGGCAAAGCCTTTTCGTCATACACCTCATTTCTGAAATCTAAGGAACAGCCCAATTTTTTTTAATTTTCGCACAGGTTGCAACCCTCTTCGAAGAATGAAACCTTACTGCAAATCGGAAATTTTAAATTGAATGAACTGTGCAAATCTAATGTCATTTACAAAAAATGCCCTCGCGTATTATACATACATAATTTTTAAATAGGAGGCAACCCCACTCAAACAAAAAATAAAAACTCATTGCACATGCAGAGATCATGTCCTTTTACTTGGTACCTCAGTTTTTCGTCCAACAAACGTTGAAGATCTTATAACTTTTAAAAAGGGGCAACCCTACTCAAGAAGTAATATATTATTGAACATTTTAAAGCCGAGTCCTTTTATTTGACCCCTCATTTCATGTAATCCAACGAACAGTGCGGACCTAATAAGTTTTTAAACAGGTGGCAACCCTATAGGAATTTAAAGTACTAAAGATAATATTCCTATTAATACAGTTTATACTTAAAAAATCTCGTGTAAATCCGTTCAATAGTTTTTGAGATTAGCGTGGTCAAAATAACTCGACTTTCCTTTTTACTACGTATAGAAGATAGTAATTTTCAAATAGGTGGCAACCCAATTCAAAACATTAAAGCTTTTGTGCATGCGAAGGCCACGCCCTTTCATTTTGTATCTCATTTTGTAATCCCACGAACGGCGATAATCTTATTTAATTTTAGTAGGTGGCAACCCTACTCAGAAAAATATTACATTATTGCACATGTAGAGTCTAAGTTTTTTCGTTTGACAGTGATGGTGCAGAACTGATGCCTACGCTTATTATGATTGAATATAGTAATTTTATTATCAGGTGGCAACCCTATTCAGTATAGAGGGCAATACCTTTCATTTGGTATCTCATCTTTTGTAATACAACGAACGGTGCCGATCTTATAGTTTTTTAGAGAGGTGGCAATCCTATTAAATTTCTAATTAAAAAAAGGTCACTCTCTTGTCGATACAGACTAAATTAGAGAAAATCTTGTCAAAATCCGTTCAGTAGTTTTCGAGATTGCCGCGTACAAAGTATCTCGACTTTCCTTCATACTATGTACGTGGTAGAGTTTAGAAAGAACATAAAACTCAGAGACCGAGAGAGAGATAACCGATAAATATCAAGATGTTTATTTTCAGCTCATTTCAAAGTAGTTCTTTTTTTGATTTTTATTTTGTCCATCAAGAATAATAGTTAAATTATGATTTGTATTTTTGCGGTCAAATTTAGTCGTTATTTGCTGATCGTAATTTCTTCGACAATTTTTAACTGTTAAAATGGAGACTGAGTTTTTATGACCGATTAAAATCGTTAATGATCTAAAAAATTAAATCTGAAAATAACGTTACAATATGGTCGAAAATATAAACAACGAGCAAAAATTAATCGAAAAAAATTTAATTCAAAAATGACGATTATTCTTGATCGAAAAATAAAAATCACAAAATAACGGTTAACTAGGATCGGAAATATAGAAATCTTATTTGAACGGTTAAATTATGACTTTTGTTAAGAAGATTATAACCGTTACGGTCTCTGATAAAACTAAAAATATTTGAAATCCTAAACAATCAAGGGGAAATGAATGCCCTTGTGCGGCAAGGAGGCTATGACAGACTCAGCAAACACTCTGACTGACATAAGTTAGAACACAGTTTTCTAGCAGCGTTCTTTTCTAAGACCCGTTTACATGATAGGCGCTTAACGCGCGCTTTGTTTTCATTTATAATTTGAAAATAAATATTTTCTCCAGCAGTGTTTATGAACTTAAGACCGCGTTGAGAAACATTTGAGAATTTTTTGTTTGGCATTTCGTTTCGTTCCATCTGTGTCAACATAGTGCAGATGTCGAAGTCTATCGTCAAGTTGATGCCGGATAAAACGTTTACTTCGCTTTGCGTGACAGATTTGCTTTGACAGACAAAATGAAATGTTTGAAACTTCACAAAGCAAAAGCACAAAACGCGAAGCAAAATTGTTTCCTTGGCGTTCAGTGCACCCTGCTGGCAAAGTTTTAAATGTCACACAAAGCCACAAAGTGTTATCTAGCCTGGCCTTTAGTGTGCTAATTCGCAGTTAGTATGTCAGAAAATGGCTCCTCGTTAAAAAAACGAAAGAAAAAAATATTCTGCTGCATCGATAGCGACAAACAGTTTGGCTACTTTAAATGAAATAATATTTTTATGTTAAAAATTAAATTTATTTTTGATATGCAAAAAAAATTATTAAGTTCTAGCTGAATAAATAATCATTTAAATAAATTGTTAAACTGCATAAATCACAATTCCTTTCATATAAAAACAGTTTTTGTTTCACATATGTACATCATTGCCAACACCATACAAATATTTCAGTGGCTGTAACTGGATTCCATTTCGTTCCGCTCCACTCACGTTTGAGAAAAAGTTGAGAAATAGTGTGTTCCGCTCCACTCACGTTTGAGAAAAAGTTGAGAAATAAATATTTCTCAATTTGAAAAGGAAAATTCCGCAATAAAAAAGTGCCTTTAAGTTTGAAAACGCTATCAATGGTTATTTGAAATGCATTTGAGAACTAACGTTTGAAATTTGAGAAAAGAACTGATTATCAATCAAATGCATCTCAAATTGAGATTTAACAAACATGTTTATTGGGTATATATACATATACATATATATATGAATATACATACATACATATTTAGGTACATACTATATATATATGTAAATATATACATATATAGAATGTGCCAATTTTTCAGTTTCATTTTTACAAGCGTTTGATTGTAGTTTTCGATGGCTTAGTTATGCGAATTGTTAGCGTTTGTTAACAAAATTCTTTGTTTATGGGCGAAATAGAAGTTACGTATTAATAAAGTAAAAAAAAAAACTGAAAGTGAAATAATCAACTTCTTCAAGGTTACAGTCGCTTTGAACAAATAACAATATTTTTTGCTAAAGATATATATTTAAACCACATAATTTTTAAACATATGGGCACCCTATTCAAAAGTTTGAATTTTTTATAAAAAGTGGTGAAACCGGCCTTCAAAATGGTGTTCCAATCATTAAATTTCATGGAGTATTAAGAGAGATATCAAGAGATATGAACTATGAGCAATTTTCACAAAAAGGATATTTCTATATATAAAAAAAAAACACCTAACTGTAATCGATGATGTTAAAGCTGAGCAAAGGAATAAAAAAAAAATGTTATATTGCAAGAACAAATTGCTTGAGTTAAGGTATTCTTATTTTATGCATTTGTCGTTTTGCATGTTCAGGATATTCTTGAATGAAAAATTTACTAATTGTTGACTGATAAATGGGTTACAAAATCTTATTAAATTTAGCTTTATTAATTGCTAGAGCTCGGATTTTTATGCAAACTGAATATGCAAAATAGTGGTATCTGTGGGAAATCAACCGCATATGCGGCCACAACCGTTGCCAAAGTCCCCAGCGTCATAGACCAGAAGCGCATCCTGGAGGAGAGTGGGTAGAAAAAGCTAATCCTCTCTTTTTCAGAGTCGGAATAGGACCAATCTCTTGCAGGGGATGTAGGTGGAGAAGCAGTTCGCTACCAACTACCCTCCAATGACGGAGTTGTTTCTCTTTCCACAGCCCAGAAGAGGAAGTATCGGGGGGGGGGGGGGCGAAACGAAAGCAGGGGAAACCCGCTTCTGTGGCTGACCGAACTCCTCCTATCGCTGCATTCAGTAAGCGGCCCAGGTCTACGTATGTCACTCCAGAAGCCAGTGGAACTTGATGGATGTACCGACATGCAAATCTGCTTACGAACGTTGCAAGAGAAGGATACCTGTGGTGCCAGACAGCAATTGCTGTCCCAATGCTTCTTTGTGTGATAATGTGGCACGGTACTGGTGTGGCATTGCCCAATTCCGATCATCCAGGCAGACCTCTGGCACGCTGAAACGCTTGCCTCAAATCAAGCGTAGAAGTGATACAAGGGTCGGTCGAGGCAGAACTGCCCTCGCTATTCCCGCGAAGTAACTACGACTGGTGGTCTGGGTTCAGGGCAACTTATTCGGAGCCCATAAAAGACCCTCTGCTAATTTCTGTAATGGGGAGGGCGGGTTAGACTCTGCAGATGACTACTGCAGAAATTAAACGCTGATCCGGGCCGTCATTGCCTCTCGCACTGTAGCCAATTCTCGTTCATAAGAGAGGGATGGAACCATTGTGGCGAAATGCCTCTCCCAAGCTAACTGGGATTGGCTAAAAAAAAAAACATGCAAAAAAACATGCAAATATGCAAACATGCAAAACAAAATTCGTCAAAATTAACTCACTTCCTTCTATAATGAGTTTCTACCCAGGTTCGGACTTCCTGTGATGTTAAAATAATAATCACTTGCGTAAGTATCCGAGCTCTATTAATTACTAAAGCTTTTGTCTAACAAATCAAAAATAAATTTTTGAAATGAACTTCACTGAAACGGGCATTAAAAGGACTATGAACTTGTTAGATATAAATGTACACAAAGAGAAATAACATTTCGCAATTGCTGAATTGTCCAAATTCCGTTAATTTTGCGCCGCTCTAGGCTCTCGCTAAAGGCAAAACGTCGTATGAAATATTCTCTGGAGTCTGAGCATGGGGCCGCTTGAGAACTCCGGGCCGGGGGAAAACTCACCGATGCCTCATATAGGTGGTCTTTAACTTGTGTAACCTATGAACATTCACGAAACTCACTTCTTTTACGTAATCCATACGGTATCGCGTCTTTATCACATCAAATCCCAACCAATTTTTATCCGTATAATCTTCTCGAACTTGTTTTGGTTTTAAGCGAGTTTTCGGCACATATCTATATTGTGGACAACGTTCTGCCGCGATGATGCCGAATGCGGATAGGCAAGCCGTAAGTATTATTGGGACGATAAAATGCATGGCAAAAAAATTCTTCACTACTATATTTGGTTTTAAGTTTATTCTCTATTTTAAATTTCCACTGAAATTGTTAAATACTTTTGTTTTATAGTTTCTTTCCGTCTTAAAACAAATAACTATGCTCAAAGCTAAAATACGAACTGAATAGTTTGATTTACAAAGCTAAGCATATAAACCCATATAAAATGAAAAAGTGCTCTTATGAAATTAAACAAACACACAAAAAAAAAAAAAGAGAGAAATAATCTTTATTAAAAATATAATGCAAAACTGCTTAAATTCGTATTTGCGATTGAGTCATTTTAAGAATTTACTTAGTTCTTTATCGGGACGTGAGATGCAATAAACCGCAAGCGCCACAAATGAATTAAGCAAAGCGGAATAGGAAATTAAAAATATTTATATTTTTTTTACACCGACGAACATATGCCTATAAAATACTTGTGTATGTATGTAGTATGAACACATAATTAATTATGTATGTATGTATGTATGTGTATGTAGGAGTGCTTTATTTAAAATAGAAAATATGCCTATTTGTAAGTACATATTTTAGTTGAACAATAATGACACACTATTGTTTGGCGTTGGTTGCAAAAATGCGGCATACCTTCATAATTTGAATTATAATAAAAAAAAAAAATTATAGGTCGGGGTGTAATCGTGCATATGTATGTATGTATGTATATAAATAAGTATTTGTACATACTAAACTTTTCCTATGACTTTGCTCGCAGTGACCATTGAGACACATTATCAGTATAAATCAAATTTCAACCTTTACGGAGTTCTTCTTAACGAACATACAAATGTGCCTATACTTACATATTAGTACTTTTCCGCTCAGATAACTTATTCGGTTTAGTAGCCCTTTCTTAAAAGAACTGATACATTTTCTAAGACGTTGGTATAACAATTTATGAATATTTAGTAAAAGCTTAAAAGCTTCAAATCTTTTAATATATGGCAAAAATGAGCATCAATGCATGTTTTTTTTTTTTGGTAATATACCGACGCTACCGACACCCATTGCAGCTAATCTGACACATTTAAAAAAACGAGATAACGAAATAACGCACGGTGGGTCAGAACCAAGTTCAACCCAAATGTCTTGACACTTCAAATTTTCTTTTGAATTTCTTTGCTATTATGTTTTCTAAGTAATTTAAGGCAGAAAAGAAAAAAATCGTTACACAGGTTTTTAAGAAAATCGAGACTATGTGTGTTTTTTGTGCTGAAAACGGGGTTATTCAACCGTAGTGTCAACCCAAGGGACAAGCCCTTACTTAATTTAAATGTTTTTCTTGAAATATTTTTTCTTAATATTGCCAGAAGCTCTTCACGAAGCCAATTGAACCACATCCTGGCCCAATCATTGACAAGATTTTCACAGCAAATCGATACACACCATCTCTTTGATATCGATAAATAAAACAGTACAATGGACGGCATGTGGTCTAGTCTATGTAAAAGTAAAGTGTACAAGATATCGATATATACAGCGATTATCGATAACGAAAATTGAAAGCTTTTTTCGTTAAATAAATGGGAATTTCTCAGTTAAAAAAAAAAAAAAACATGACATTATTATTTCTAAAATTTTTAGTAAAATTGATTTTTGTGTCGAAAGGAGAAAATTTAGCCCAGCTGGGACTCTCACAGCACCAACTAATGACTTTGAAAACATTATTTTAGTGCTCTACTCACCTTGGTAAACGTTTTTAGGATCACTTTTATTGAAAAAACTAGCTTTAGTCCGCAGCTTCGCTCGCGTTAAGTTCGGTTTAACGTTATAATAGCAAAAAAGAAAATAAATATCACCGAAAGAAGAAGTTGAAAAGGTGCTAATTGTCTCGAGGCACCACAACATACTCAATGCGTAGAATTTCAGCTGAATCGGCCACTTCAATATCAAAAAAAAAAACAATCAGTAACATTTATGCACAATATATATCTAGATTTTGAAAAAATATTTTTTGGTATTCTTTTAAAAAAATATGTCTGAATAATAAAAAGCGAATATCTCATTTATCTTTCCTAAAAAATATTCCACTAAGCAAGTGTTCAGTTTATTTTGATTTTTAAACACCCTTTCCAAAGTGTTTACGTTCTAAAGTTCGTTCAACCTTTTTCGTTTGACATCGATATTGTAATATTTCATTACAGTAACTTATTAAATTTCGAAAGAATTTTAAACACGTTTAAAAGTATTTTCGAAATAAAGCCTTCTGAAACATCTTTTGTTTGACTTGGTATAATTTTGTAATGTTTAATTTTACATGTTGATTAAACTTAATTTGAATTATAAAAATATTTTCGATTAAAAAAGTTATTTGACTTTCCAAACTAAAACTGCCCTCAACATCATTTGTTTGCACCCATATTGTAAAACTTCATTCTCATTTCTATGAAAAATGAATTTGATTTTTTAGGTAGGTCGCATGCCTGTTAAAAATGTTTCGTAATAAAGCCGCCTTAAGCGATAAACTTATAATTTAAGGTAGAATTTAACTATTTTAGCAGGTGGCATATTAAAAAAAAAAAATACGCAATATATTAATGCAGGTCATCAGCTCTCTGTATACCAAATTTTATGCAAAGAAAAACCAAAAAACATACTGCCTGACTAACTCACAAACTTTCACTTTTATTATATTAGTAGTATTTCATTTAACTTCACAATTATATTCCTAAACTGGTGGCAAGTCTCGTTCACGAATACAGCTTTCGTATAAGCTCTCGTTTTTGTTACTTAAATAAATTTTCGAAATGAAGCTTGCTTAAACCTCTCCGATTTGATGTTCATATTAAACTATTCCGTTGAACTTGCTAGTTGAATTGACTTTAACTTTTTGAATAGATGGAAACAATTTTAAAAGTTATTTCCGCAAGAAATCGTTTTTGACCTCCATCATTCGACGCACTCATTGTTGTAGTACTTTATTCAACTTATTAGTTAAACAATTTTAACTTTATAAACAGGTGGCAACCCCCTCAAAAACTATTTCCGAAATAAATCATGCTTGGACCACTTTTCTTTAACACCCACATTGTTTTAATAATTTGATTAACTTGTTAATTAATTTATTTTTTTTTTTTTTTTTTTGAAAAAGCGGTTATTCATTAAATATGGCTTTAATTGATTGCATTTATCATTATAAAAACGGTACATAATTTTTTCCCAAAAGCGCGGTTCACGAAGCTTGACTCTATCTGCTCCTCTGCATCAAATTATTGACTTGCCAATATAAACAAATATGTATGTGTTTATATATGCGTATATACATTAGGGCGGATCGACAAACACAAAATGTTTGATACGAAAATTGTATAGATAAGTCTTAAAAGGTGCTATTTCAATCCCTTATTCTAGAAAAGGAATCCTGGCTCTCTGCGGCAATATATTCAGTCTACGGAATGTGCTTGAATAATTGAAAATAAAAGTCGGAATACCAATTTTTCAAATTTTTACAATGACTTGTGTAGATCAAATCTGGAACTTACTTTCTCTCATAAAATCATAAAAACAATAAATTGGGCTATATAAAAGTAACAGCAATATATTAAACAATTTATATTTATTTCCTACTTAATTTATTAATTGATTAAATTATTGATGTTAATATTTAACTTTTAATTTTTAGAGTTTATTTTTTTATGATTTTATGATAGCAAATAAGTTGCGGATTTTATCTACACAAGTCGTTGTAAAAATTAAAAAAATTGGTATTCCCACTCTTATTTTAAAATTTTCAGGCTCATTCCGCCGACCGAAGATATTGTCGCAGAGAATCACTATTTGTTTTCTAGAAAATAAGGCATTAAAATAGCACTTTTTAAGGCTTATAAATTTGCGCATACAAAATTTGTGTTTGTAGACCCGCCCTAATATATGTACATAAATGTATATCGTTTAACCGAACCATGTCAAGCGCTGGCAGAACTATATAAGTAGTGCAAAAATTTTTGCACTGGCATAAACCATCAGCTTAACTGTCTAAAACACCAATTCGGCAGCAGCGCTAACTTTTTTTAATATCTAAATTTTTTATTACATATGAACATATCTACACGATATTATTCTCTTTCACATTCGCCTTGTTTTTCGAATCCAACAACGCCTCTTTCAGCACATCATTCTGCTCCTCCTCCTTATGGTCGTCCGCTTTGGCTCCCTCATTCTCGCCCACGTCCTCACCTTCCTCATCATCATACTCCCCCGCTAAGTCATTCAATCCCTTTGTTAGGCGTTCAGCCACCTTTCGCATCAAATCCTCCATACTCATCTCGATCTTAACACAAGCGCGCTGCGCCACATCATAACGTTGATCCAACGCTGAACATCTTATACGCTCGCACTTCAACGGCATAAACCACCAAGTGTTGGCATTCCTAAAGCCTTCACTACACACACACCGGTTTCGTGCCACACAGTGGCTATGTCGTGGACAACCACCAACACAAATGGGCCGGCAGTCGAGCAATTGCTGCTCCTTGTTATTCGGATGATGCTCCTCATAGCCCGATAAGCATTCGCACTGATTTGGCGTGGCGCAGTAGCTGAAGCGCGGACAAACCTGCTCACAGATGGGCTCACAGAAACCGAAAAGCAGCGTACGATAGCCAGGGCAGCAGATATTGGTGGCTTCCCAACGCACGCGCGGCTCATAGGTGACATAGCTACCGTTGGTGGTGGAAGTGACGATGTTATTGGCTGCGGTGTTGTGATCTGCTGAGGTGCGCTCGCTGGCAGCAGCTGCGCGCCGTATTGATTGAGTGGAGTGCCTCACTGCCACTTGGTATTTGGTGCTGATATTTTGTTTGCAATATCGGCCGGTGATGGTGAACGGTGTGACCACGCAGGCGCTGAGCAAATAACTGAGTAGTAGCAGCAGCAGCAGCAGGTGCAGCTTAACAATTGCTGCCGAGCCAGTGTGATGGCTTATGGGCAGGTGTGCAGGCGTACATCCAGACATGGACGCGGTTTTTGATCTCCCACGATCAGCGGCCTACTTTTGTTTAATAGACGAATTCTAATTCTCACTCAAATGAAGTGAATTGTTAGTACCGCCCGCCTTCAACGTTCCAGAGGAAATAATATTTAAGCGCTGCTGATCAGTCGAGAAATCCAGAGCATGTTATTCCGCGCTTATTTTGTTATTGTCAGCATGTAGTCGTATGTTTTTTTCGTCGTTTTGTTTATATTTTTA